CCCCCCCCCCGCGCGCTCGCCAGATCGTCGTCCGGTGTACTGCACGCGCGTTTGTACACTTTAGGTTTTAGCGCAGAGAGTTGGCGCGCGAAAAGGTATGTAAAACACTGCTTGATATCATGCTGTGAATGAACGGGGACAGGATATTTTTTTTCCTCTTAAATTGAAGTCTCTCGCAATTGACGCGCGTATTACGTTTGGTTCGCGTTGATAGTAGGCACGATTATAGGATGGATTAAGCAAAAACTGATTTTAAGGGCGTATATAACTATGAAACTTTATTTTTTCACTTTATTTTTTCGGAATCGATTACGACATCTAGCGGTCAAATCCGAAGCTCGTTGCCAATGAGCGCATACATTACCGTACACCTGTCGTACAAAATGATTCGTCTACTTCTGTTCTCTCTATACTTCAGAATCGATAAATGGCGGTTTGAGAACATCAGTTTGAAGTAAAACTTCAACAAAGTTTTGCAAAAAAAAAAATATTTAAACCCGAGTAAATTAAGAAAATGACTTTATAATAAAAAAAATGTCCGCGATTGTTAACCATCCTCGGCATCGACGTAAAAAAAAATTCTCTGAGATATTTATTTCTCTCCGTCTGTACCCATACCAATACCCAACGCGCCCTAAAGAAGTTTCACTTCCTCCAAAGCGAGATCGATCGGCAGTCATCGCTCGGCGGGCGAGCGAGCTGTTTTTTGTTCATCATCGCACACACGCATGCACACTCACAAAGGAAACTCTGAAAAGCCGCGAAGGAAGAGCATCAATTATGAAAGAATTAATCCTGAGATAAAGTCGTTATACTCGCGCGCGGGGAGTTGGTAGAAAAGGCAATTTCAACTTACAATTCCTTTTAGTACACACAAAGCCAATCTCGCGAGCTTACACAGCGAATCCTTTAAAATAATATAGCTAATTTTTCATATATTATAACCGCCGACGAATGTATAATTTTTTTTTTTTGCTACGCTCGTACCCGGACGATCAATTGTCTTGGCTATTATATCATACCGCCACCCTTTTATATGGAACTAGCTTGCCAGATATATAATGGCTCAAGACACAAAAGCTGTTAATTGCAATTCAAAGTAGTGCCAAGCAGCAGCAGCAACTCTCCGCGGAACAATCGTAAGGCATTATTATATACGCCCACACCGAAACCTACGTTACACATTATACATGCCCTTCGCTGCTGCTAGTGGTGTAGAGTATGAATCTAACCGGTGGTTCATCCATCATACCGCGGAGAAGTCGACGGCGGGGGGCGCTCGCATATATAAGAGAGAGGCGGGAGGAAACGATTTAATCTTTGTTCGGCGAAAAGCTAATACTAAGATTATAAACTCGGCCGCCGCTTGCTTGCTTGCTTGCGCTTGCTGCATCTGTTGATTTAACCGATCAGCTGCGACGATGATTTGCGGTGCGGTGCGGCCAAGCAAATATTTGATCGTCGAAGCAATGTTCTTTATATATTTTTTTTCCTCTCTCTCTCTCTTAATCGTTCCACTATTGTGTTTATATATTTTTTCAGCTGAATTCCCGTGCGCGCTTGCAAGCCTCCCTCCTCCCCCTTTGAGAGAGAGAGAGAGAGAGCAAACTCTCCAAAGCCCCAAGAAAATAAACGAATAAGCTTAAATTTTCCCGCAGCGCACGATGGTGTATATGCTACGAGCTGTACGAGCGAGTTTCCCCTGGACAGCCGTAACCACTTTTATCTGTTTTACTCTCGTTTTCCCCGCGCGCCTCGCAGTCGTTGGGCGTTGAAAATTCGTAACAAGCGCCAGAGCCTCGGTACTGTTTGTACTTATACGACTCGTCGCTCGCTAACGTTGAGTTGTTGCTTGCCTCATGCCTGCTGCCAAGCCAAGCCAGCCAGTCAGGCAGTAGCAGCAACCGTCCTGCAATCACGACAGTCAAGAGGAGAGAAGAAGAAGAAGATAACGGAGAGTGGGATATCAAATATTTACCGAGCACTTGTCTCTGGCCCTTTATATTCCGTAGTTATATGTGTGTGTACTAACAAAGTGCGAGGCGATGGTGCTTACGAGCGGGCCGCCGTCGCTCGCTCGTCGCTGCCTAGAGGATGATCGTCTCGAGGATATATAGGCGCGCGCGAGTTTCAAATTGTAATTCGCGCGAGGGGTGATATATATATCTGGACTCGACGCGCGATGACTAAGCCACTTCCTTTCTTTTCGCGCGTCATTAGCACTATTTTGTTTTTTGTCAAGTGGAGCGAAAATTAAATCACTTACCGATTTTTTCGGATCGAGCCACTCGATTAATTTCGGGAGGGAAAATCTCGATGAATCTGTGTGAATACATCGTACATTGATGAAACTGCTATACATATGATATTTACGCAGTACACGGCGAATACGGATAAATTCGATATATCAATTTCTCATGTATATGTGTGCTTTAGCTTATGTTGAGAGCTTTCAAACGATCGCATGTATATTAATTCGCAAAGTAATAATTATCCCTAGCAGCTTTCTGTGTATGTGTAAGCGAAGTGCACCTGCAAATAAATCCCTGAGACGAATGCTAGATTATATATTTGCCTTAACTCGCCCGGAGTAGATCGTAATTACAGGAGATACGAAAGAGCATATAATATATAATATATATATAATATATGTGTGTACGAAAACTTTTAACTCGACAGCCTATAGCACAATTGAAATTCCATTATATATAAAGCATCAGACAGGCAGCACGCGAGCGTCGCCACCACCAGCAACCAGCACACCATGGGATGAGGAAGTTTGCTTAATCCACTCGTTTCGTATATTATATATTCGGTGTATACACAATTTTGCCGTTGATACACACCGGCAGCAGTGCGGCTGAAGCAGCGAGGTTACGTATATATAGCCCGCCCGCGTTAAGGAAAATCGCTGCATCAGCTCGACGATCCGTGAAAATACGACATTATAATATCGTCGTCGTCGTAGTCGTCGTCGTCGTATGGCGACGGCGGGAGAGCAGAGGCATGTGCCTCGCGATATATTTATACATAGAACACGACTGCTATGTTGGATATATTATATATACTTACGACTAATGCGCTACGCGATTTTGCGTCCGTGTGGATATATCATCGAGAGCATAATACAGTGACACATACGCACACCTGCCGTGATCTAATGGACTGCTTGAACAAATTTTGTTTTGTAAAAAAAAAAAAAGAATAAAGAAGCTCACCTCGGTATGCGATCGTAACTGTCCCAGCTGGTGAGACAGTTGTAGCTGCTATAGCGGCTCGACGACGTCATCGCTGCGCTGCTGCGTTCGGACAGTCGTCAGGCAATTCCGCCGACTGTCATTATTATTACTTTCTTCAGCTTCGCCGCGAGCGGCATCGACATCGTCATTGTCATTTTTCTCTTTATTTTTTATTTTTTTATTATTATCTTTATTCTCTAATTATATACTCATCTAAATATACGTAATCACACCGATGGCACTCACACACGCACTAGTAGTACTCGAAGAATATGCGTTCGTTGTGTTTATATATCTTATACTTTTACTTGTTTATTTTGGTTTTTTTTTTGGTACAAAAAATAATAAAGACGAGAGCTAGGGTATTTTTTGGTCGATCAAGGAGGAGGGTTTTTTTGTTTTTTTACTTTTACGAGAGAGTCCGTTATAGTAAAGTACCTAAGACACTCTGAGTTGGACCACGCGAGTCGAGAGAGAGAAAAAGACGAGGAAGGAAGACGCGCACACACTCGGGCAATGACGACGACGACGATGATGATGACAGTATAATGAAAAGGTCGAGCGAAGAAAAAAAGGAGACGAAGAGAATATTTCTTCTTTCACGAGGTATATATAACCCGGAACGTTATGCACTTATATGCGCGTTTACGTGTACACACACGAAGAGAGAGAGAGAGATAGGTAGATAGATACATAGGTAGTAGGGGAAGGAATAAAATTGGACCTCTATATAAGGTGATTGGACCGCCTTTATTGTTGGTACTTTGCCGCTGCTGCTCATGTATTATGTCAGAGAGGGGGGGTAGTAGGTATTGTTATGCACAGCGCGCGAGCTTTTCGCGAGATATCATTATATTTTGCTTATCCCTTTTTTTTTGCTTCTTTCTTGCTTATACACTTGCTTCTTTCCTCTCGCTGTTTTTGTAGTAGTAGTAGTAGTAGTACTAGTAGTAACTCTATGATACGTTGTGTGGATATCTACTGTAGGTACCAACGCTTACGTATAGATAAATATTGCGTATACGCGCGCGTCGTTGCCTCGTGCGTGTGTATATAGATAATACTATTATTATTATAATAGAGATGTATATTTTTAATATAATAAAATGTATTCTTTATGTATATTATCTCTAAACGATTGTTGCGGAGGTGCATCCAGCAGCGCTTGGCACGCCTCGGACGTCACCCCGTTTCTTTTTTTTTCGTTAAAAATATCAGCTACGTTTTTTTGGACCCACCAACCAGCGCTGCGTGTGTAAAACGTCGTAACTTTATAATAATAATAATAATAATTATGTAACTGTTGCTCCTTATCGATTATTAACTATGTCATACAAGAATTATTACAATGATTCGTGTCTTTTTTCTTCCTCACTTTGTTCGGCGGCATATTCATTCCGTAAAGTTATATTATTGTTATTGAAAACGTCGACGATGACGACGACGTAGGGAGTATTAGCATGCATGCATAAACGCATCTCTGCTGCTGCACTGTCGTCGTCTTAGTCGCGCACTCGCAAAATTCACCTATATGCATATCAGAGCACCACCAGCAGCAGCACTACGAGCACCCACACACAAGCTCAAATCGACGACGAAAAATAAAAGAAACCGAGATAGAACACGTAAACGTGAGTTCTCCGCAGCATACTTATATAGAAGGGGCCACGACGACGCTGTATACTACCCTTCTTATCTCCGAGACACTTTGGGACAATTCGCCAGCTCTCGCGTGTCGGTCGGATGCTGCTACTACTGCGAGCGTCAGCGAACGTTCGAACTAAATACACACATAGCCACTTTTCTTCGTCTCTTCTTCTTCTTCTTCTTCTTCTTTTTTTTGAGACTTTTTTCTTTTCCTCACTCTTATCGCTGACTTTTATCCATCATTAGCTTATACGACTATATCAGCTCGAGATATGGATTCCGACCGCAAAAAAAAAGATCGTACGCGGTCATCACCGCGACGTGGGGTCGCGTCGGGCCGGGGCGCGTGCCAGCGGCGGGGCTGCCCGATCACCGCACGGTCGGCCGAGCGCGGCGCGCGGCTTTTCGAAGCTGATCTCCCTCTGTCCCTGAGTCACGGCTGGCCTGCTGCTGCCTTTCCGATCTGGATACCGACGATGCTGATGACGACGATGACCACCTCGCAGAGGCAGCCTCGAGATTTTCATATCTCTCCTCGCTCGCGCGCCCCTGACACGAGACGAGATGCGATCACTCGAGACGAGACGACGACGACGATGTTCTTCTTCCTCCGACCGAACAGCAGCAACGCATCGGTCGTGTTTTCATCAGCTGATTCTTAATGATTTAGGAACACTTTGGAGTGTCTCTTTGCATCTTCAAAGGAAGTCGTTTTTTTTTCTTCTGATCACTCGTGAATGATACACGCTCGGGGTGGTTTAAAAAAAAGTAGAAAAATATAGAACGCACGAAACGATACGCATTAAGACGTTTGTGCTGTCGCTCAATCAGGCAGCACCTTTAATCAGGCACCGGCACTTGCGTTTGAGAAACATGTCGATAACCGAAAAAAAAAACGAAACTAATTATCACACGAGTATCGCGAAACACAAACGATTATAGAGCTACCGCGTCGCAGTGACGGCGGATCGACAAAAAAACTCCCGCGTCGATCGGCTGCTGCTGCAAGCTCGCACTGGCAACGACGCGATGACGCAAGCTCCGCAACGGCCACGGGTCGACTGACGATCCGTGTGCTTTTCGAGGGGGGCGCGCGCACTTGGGCCACGAGGCTCGAGAACGCCACTGCTATATAGCACACGGACACAAGGCAGGCGCGCGCGCGCCTCTGCTCCTCGTCATATAGAGGGAGTGAGAGAGAGAGAGAGAGATGATAACGATGCGTGCGCAGCGCGCGAAAAGAGGTGGGACTCCGACCGACTCGACTGCGAGTACAAGCGCACTGCCCTACTGTCGGTTCTACTGCTGATGCTCTCCATAATATATATAGATATATCTAGAAGATAACGCGCATAAGTACGAGTGGAGCATCGAAGGACCTGTACGTACGTACCTACGTGTGCATGAGCAGCCGAGTGTTTGATGTTATTAAGCAGCTTTTGGTTTACGCATTCCCCGCGAGCAGTGACGTCGAGATTCTATCTTGTAATTTTCACTGATTTTTCAAAGCAACGCCAACATACGTACGTACGTACGATGTAATCTTGACTCGTATCACTTGTGAATTATATATAGGTATAGACGTAAACCTTCGAGTGTATACTCTCGAGCGTCCATACCTGCAATTAATCACTCGCATTGGCTCTTTCCCATATTGCACGCAGATACGAGTGTGTTACATTTTCGAGTGTATTATATAGCTCGCAGCAGCAGCAGCAGCAGCAGCAGCAGCAGCAGAGGAAGAGGATGCTTGTATATCGAAAATAATTAACGCGTACGTATTCAGGGCCTCTCGAGGAAGAAAAAAATTGGATCGAGTGGCTGCGTGCGATGAGCAATATTAAACACTCTATACACTATTTGAATGTCCTTTTGGGCATATTTTTTTTTTGTTAATTTATTGGATTAGAAAAATAACTGTAATCGTACACGTGCCCCACGCTCCCCCGCTCGAAGCTCGAATCGCATATACACTCCAACGAGGGAGTCGAGCTCCCCGAGAACAAATTTGCCGATAAAATTTTGGAGTAACGCGTGCCTGCATGGGTGTCTATCTATACGAGTGTTTGTAATTTTAATCGAGACAAATTTCGCGGAACGTTGAATTTTGACACGCCCGTGTGAATTCGCGCGCAGTCAAGCTGAGCCAGAGCCAGAATCAGCAGCCCCGTATCGCTCGTACAACTCTAGCGAACTTTCACCTATACGCGCGCGTATTATACATGCACCCGAGGAGTTTACATACACGTATAAGCGCGCGGGGCGCTGTACTACTAGTAGGTAGGTAGGTAGGTAGGAAGTTTTGGCATTGGATATATTTGCGCGCGGAACGGCGCTTATACCGACTTGTACGAATTGTTTTCCTTATTCGCGCGGCTGCTGCTACTCGCATTTTCCGCATTCGCAGCGAAAGCTGCTGTATTGTATACGGGTTGAGCAGGAGAGAGAGAGAGAGAGAGAGAGAGAGAGGGAGGAAGGCAATTTTAATTTAATTTCGTGTGACTGACACGTGCTCTTATAGCTACGAGTGCGCGAGATGACGTGCGCGGCTCGACACGTGGCTGACTAATTTCGTTCATATACAAAAAAAAGAAAAATATTATACTGCCGCCCCTCATAAGTACGACAGGAGGAGCGAGCCTGGATCTGGATTCTCGAGATGATTAATCATCTTCGAGTGTATCAAGAGATTTACCGAGCGAAAATCTGGCGCTTATCGCTCCAATTAAGTAATTAGCAGCTGCAGAATACGACGAGTCACGTCGAAGATTATCTCTCTCTCTACTACTGCTACTACTACTAATCCCTTAACGTACCGCAATCGAACTTGAGGGGCCGAGATTGCGCGGGTGTGTGTATGCAGACGAGAACTAACACACGATCCCGTTACTATCGTCAACGTTATACACACATCGACGCGAATGATTAGTTTCCAAATTCACACACGACCACGTCGTCAACGTCAACGTCTGTGATAAGTCGATTTCAAGACGCGTTACGCACGTTTGATACTTTTTGAACAAAAGGTCCGATTCGCAGCGATAGTTCCAAGCGAACGACGACGACTACTGGTAATAGTTTTTTGAAATGATCGATCTTCGCTCAGGCGGAAGAAATTCCGCAAGAATAAATTGATTTTGCAAAGTGGAGTTCGATGGTTCGCGTATACGTATGCGTCGCGACACATAACACACACGGACAACAAAAAAAACCTCGTGCATCACACACACGACGACGCCACCGCGCGCAAGGCGGGAAAAAAATTTATCGCTCATTTTGGTATGGGATGTTGAGATATATATAGAACTTCCCGACACTTTCTCACTCTCGGGCTCTCACCTTCTCGACGACGAAACAATGGGGATCTTGATGAAAAATAATAAATGGCAGGCTCTTTAACTAGGAAAGCCCAAAGCATCTATCTAGCCCCCGCGTGGCAGCACCGCCTTTAATACATCGAGTAGTATATAACGGCCCGCTCGAGCTTAAGACACTGTGTGCGGGGCGCAAACTCGATGATGTATAAGCTCGGCGAAGCTCTAAACTCGCGCGCCTCGCATTAAATAAACACCTCGCCCAGAAATATATATTTGTCCCTTTTCAAATCTTACTTTACTTCTTACTGCTACTGCTCTAGAGCCCACTCGCAATCCCTACGAGGCGCGGGATTGCTCGTTTCTCGAGCTGCTGTTTTTTTTCTTCTCCGCGTCCATTAAAATAATTATATGGCGCGATACATGTAGTCCACAAATAAAAACACAGTGTATACATACGAATGTGGCTTTCTTTTTCTTCCTTTGCCACGTGCCGTTTTACCTTTCATTAAAACTCGTTAATACGGCATCATTTAGCGGGAGAAAAGACTGCGCGCGCAAGCTCACAAGTGGTTGTAATTAGAATTTCAAAGAAACATAGAGCTTATGCGATTAAGTCGTGTGTTTCTTTTCTCTCGTTCTTGTTTTTCGTTTGTAATGGTATCAAGCAGGAATGCAATACCAAGTCTCATTAGACTCTTTCGCCGAAGGTATACACGTGAGCGCGAGCACCACGTATATGGACGTTTCTGTGTCCAGCATCTTGCATTTATTTTTATTCAAAATCTTGAAAATCGATACTTTTTGATACAAATAAAAAAAATATTACTTATTATAAAATTACTTTAGGATGAAATTCGTCTTGTAAACTCCCAATAACGATGCTCTAACTGTGGCAGAAATTTTCAGCAATAAAAACAATTGATGATGAAAAAATTTTACGTGATTAAATACGGTGATGCAACTTTGAATCTCCATCACTAGATGGCGAATACTCTTATTTGTAAACCTACAAGTGGAAAAGTGAAAATAATTGTATAAGTCGGAGCATGGTTTAGGAATAAACATCTTTTTTCCAAAAAGGGTAATAAAAAGCGATGCATTTATTATGTTACCCAAAAAATTTCTTTCCTCGGTCGATTTGACAGAAAGTTGACCATACTTTAATTAAGTAGGGCTAATATAAGCCACTTACTTGTGCTTTGTATAATAGAGTCACGAATCCGAGGCTCGCGTGTGTCAACATTTTATACCTGCGCTGACCAATCTACAATATCGCGTGCTTAATTGATGCCTTGAGGTATGGAATAATAATGCGTCGAAAAAAAAACGAAGACAAAAATAAATTATCACGTGTCAACTTTTTTTTGTCGTCGCAATTTCGACGCTGCCATTAAAACGCTCGTGCGCGTGCTTCTGAAAGAAGGAGCCATTGACCCATGCTGTAAAGATTAAATTTTTCGAGGTACAAATATGTCGAGCCGATATGCGACAAAAAAGAACGCCGATTTGCTTTGGTGCATACGTTTTTACGCTTTGCCTGCCGCTACGCTAACATCTTTATTCATAAAAGTGAAAAACGAAATAACAATCCGAAATTTCGATTCGAGCTTTACGATCTGTGGGGGAGGGAGCGGCGGCATCGAATCGCGCGCGTATCATCCTCTGTGTCGCGGGATTACGAGCCCTCTCTGGTCCTCCTCCTCCTTTGCCTCTCCTGTATGCCGCGCGCAAAGTCGTAAAATGTTGCTCGGGTACTTCGCCACGGATCGTTTGTTATAAAGGATTTAGACGAATAGAGGCGGCGGCAGCAGCAGCCGATCGACTAATATATGTATCGTAAAGCATACCAGTTTCGATATTATCATTCGCGAGCAGGCATCGTGTCGCGAGTACAGAGGGAGAGAGATCGAATCATTTGTTATATAGCTGGCGCGTGTTCCTAATGATTAACTGAGGACGACGGATGGTTCGTGTATTGTATGTT